AACCAGGATTAGAGACAGGCTAATCTATGATGATGGCTTTTGATGTTTGATGGCTTGTATTAGGGGGAAAAAAAGCGGGTTAAGGCCCTCTCTCTCTCTCTCTCTCTCTCGTTGTTTTTATTTTCTTTTTCTTGCTTACTCCCCCAGTCTCCCGTGCATTTCTGCCTGCGTAGCTCTCCTGAGGCATTGTGCTGCGCCGCACAACTTTTTGCCACGGCCGGGCTGCTAACTCGGCACGCCACACTTGATCATTTCTGGGGATGGAGGTGTGTTTACTTTGAAGCTAACTCTAAACCAGATGTAGAAGCTCTTTCACACGAGCTAGATGGAGACAGCCTGTAAAAAAAAAAAAAAAAAGAGGAGGTTGGGGAATGGCATCTGTAACTGCCAGTCTAGTAAACAGGACCTGACACAACATATTCTTAGAGCACATTCCTCGTGTGTGCGTGTGTGTTTGTGTGTGGTTTCTGTGAGTTGTTTTGATCGCCCTCACCGCTCACGTGACTTTAACCTTCGCCACAGAAGGACACCTGCTGGGAACAGTGTCCCCAAAGTCAACAAACTTGAAACAACTGCCTCTGGCCGCGGCGAGAAGAAGCCACACCTCAGAATACTCCGGGCTCTTCAGGACTCTGTGGCTGTTTGTGTACGGCTGCGGCTGTTCTATTCCTCTCAGAGAAAAGAACCGAATGTTCCCGGCTCCACCCAACATCAGCACAGCACAGGACTGGCGTGGTGTGACCATAGCTTTCCAAGAACGTCACCATTTATATTTTTGACAGCGCAGATTGATCTGGAAAGCGAAGTAGCAAGTGGAAAGAAAAAAAAAAGAAAGAAAGAAAGAACAACATGCACGAAGTATGAGGATGAGCCGTCAACGCTTTGGAATTCACCGGAAAATGTTGTGTTTTCAAAGATGCCTCTGGTCGGGGCGAACGTACAAGTGTATGTGGGATAAACTGCTGTCTCTCTGGGAACAGCTTGATTACAGAATGCTAAAGAACCTCTGGCAGGCGTGCTGTTTATGGATGGCACACATAAACATGCCATGGATGCTCCCCGGTGATTTATTTTGCCATGTTTGGTGCATATTGCTCTGTTACTGATTTATTTACCGTCTCTCGGCTTCCACCGCTGAGCAGGAGTCTATCTGTCATGTCTGGTGTTTGCTCTTCCCTGATCGTTTTGCATGTGCGGATGTGCCGACGCTGCGTTTTGTCATTTCAGTATTTGTGTCAGTATTTGCACGTACTGTATGTCAGCATCTGCTCCGGTGTGTGTGAGCAGCACAGTGTTTGACATGACAAGGGGTGACCTTCCCTCTGTGTTCTCCAACCTCCTCCTGTCATGCCATGTAGAACCGAGGACTCTGTTGTCATGGTGACAGCGGTGATTGACAGCTTCTGTGTAGCCGGGAGACAGATTTGTGTGAAGCCGTTTCCTCTATTATCTGGGCCGATTCCCTCCAGTCGTCTGTAGGAGGAAACTCCTCCATGTTGTTCTGCATTTTCCATCTCTGTGTTTAACCTTTGCACTGACTGAGTGAGTTGACCGCGCTTCTTCTACCTCGTCTCCATGTGGACTTTTGGTCCAGAATGACGCCAAGCACGTAGAGCGATTACCTTTCTAAAGGGACCTTGAAAGTGATTGTTGAGGGACGAACAACCTTTTAGAACCATTTTTAGAATTTACAATGTGTTCCCAATGTGTTTAAAGGCCCGCAGCCAAGAAAGTGTGGTCGGTAATTGGCTGCACTTGAATATGTTTTATTTCTCTGATATTAAAATCTGTCCCCAGAATTTAAGTCTTGTGCGGTGGAGTAAGAATAGTCTGTTCTCAGGTAGCGTGGGCCAGACGACTGAGTGTATCTGCAAATGTTCTGGATGTGAATACATTTTGAATCCAAGTGTGGTTTATGCCAAACATTACCAAACAAATTGTCCGGAAAATTAGGTATGTGATCATTTTATCCTAAATCGGGTAAAAATAGTACATTTTTGGGGCTTTGTACCGTATTTTCCAGACAATATGTCACACTTTTTTTTCATCCTTTGCGACTTATAAATTAATATATATAATTTCACATCTTTGTTAACTTCACACTGACAGCTGCTAGAGGGCACTCTAGGATTGTGTACCAGTATTTACTGCTCCTGTAGTACTGAAAATTTACATGTTCGTTATTTTCACACTCAGCCTCTAGAGGGCACTGATGTGACTCATACTCAGGACCAGATGGTACTACAAATACTAGGGTTGGGATTTAATCCTAAACTTGGTCCAAACTAATACCACTGTAGTGACACAATAACAATTTGTAGATACAGAAAAGTCTTGTTTTTCACATGTTTGATTTGGCTCAGTTTTAGGATATTATACATGAAGTCAGCGTCAGTCTGGGGGACACATTGGCATCTAGACCCCATTAAAATGTTGCTAAAGAGGAGCCTTGGTATAAAGAAGAGATTTGAGACACGGGGCTGATTTAACAAGCATCAATCTCTGTAGCTGGAGTGATGACAGAGGAGAGGAGTGGAGATATGGAGGGCTTTGTTATGGTTTAAGTGGGAGAGTGCTGTGATCCACAGCCACTGGTGTGCACAGCTCCAACACTTCCCCTTGTTTGAGCTCCACTGCTGAGATCAATAGTCATCAGACTCCATCCTCACGCTGCCCAGCCATTAATAACCTACAGTGTGAGGCTGGACAACCTTGGCCTCGACCAACTGTTGTCCTCCACCGCACAGACACCGTGACACAGCAGGGATGGATGGATGGATGGATGGATGGATGGTGGTGGAAGCGATGATATAGTTCAGCATTAAGCTAGTGGAGGCGATGATATAGTTCAGCATTAAGCTAGCTGATTGGCTATTCTTTTTTGCACTACTATAAATTACAAAAACCTTTACTCTAGCGGGGTTGTCCACAGACTGGCCCGGGAGCCAGTGTTTGAATTATGGCTAACTTTTTCTTATTTTTCTATTACTGACTACTGTTATGAGTTTCAGTGACCTTTGTTTTTTTCTGGCAGGGAATTTTGGCTAGACTTCTTTTAGCTGTCTTTCTGGCAGGTAATTTTGGCTAGACTTCTTTTAGCTGTCACTTGGCTAACTTTTTAACATCTATCTTCACATCATGTTTTTCTATAGAATATTGTTGACATTTCTAAAAAAAAATGTTAAGTTTTGTTCAACTTTCAGCAACTGATTTTCATTTTTTTTTCACTTATGTTTTTGTAAAGTTAACTTTGGCTAAGTGAGAGTCGAACTTCTGGGTCTGCCATGCTACTTTTCTCGAAGCGACAGAGATACCAACTGCCAATCAAGGCTAGTGTATTTTTGGCTATTTACTCATACATTTTTAGTAACAAAACAGGAGCAGCTGGGTCAGCGGTGTATTTTTTATTATTTTAAAACAATCAAATCACCCGTTGAAAGAAAAAGGGGAAAGCGTTGCGCTCACAGTTTACATTATTACACAGGGCTAAACAACTGTGGTGTATGTGAGGTTCAGTCTATTGTATGGATTTTTTTTTCTCCTCCTTCAGCCTAGCATTGCTGCATTGCGGTGTGACTTTATACTGTAGTTATAGGTTGTATGTCATTGAGAGTGATGGTGGAGGAGAAGAAGAAACTTAAGGAGTCCTCTCACACCAGCCTCGTTAAGGAAGTCTTCACTCCTCCTCTTCATTAAACACACACACACAACCAAGCCATCTGCTTCACTATGTGTGTGTGTGTGTGTGTGTGTGCATGTGACCATGAGTGTGAATCACCATTTATGGCCAATTAGGGATGCTTTATATTGCCCACACCCATCTCTTGACTATGGGCAGGGACATTTTATAAGAGTTGAAAATTGGGCAAAAATCATCTTTATCGCCATAGCAACCTAATTCACCGAGTGCAGACTTGACATCCCGTTGATTCGCCACAGCAGCAGCAGCAGCAGCGAGTGCGAATATATGCCCCTGCTCCGGCTGCCACATTAAATAGGTTAACTAATGGTTATGGCGGAAGGCGCGAAATCTTATCTTATTAAATGCTCTTGTTAAAGCTAATTTAAATTCCTTTTTCTCCGGCCCTGCGGAGAAATCTTACGTTTCAAATAGACGCTCCTACTTTGACAGGAGGATTTTGATATTGCTAATTATCTCCCTTTTTTCTCTTCTTCGTTGCCTCCACGCAGCCCTCACAGGTGAGTCGGATGAATAAGTTAATGGGAAAAAAGAAAAAAAAAAGTGGGGGTGAAAATTGGTATGCATGGGTTTTGGTTCCTCCAGAGAGAAGGTCACTTTAACAATCTGATAGGGAGGAAGTGACAGGAAAGTAAGAGAGAGAGAGAGAGAGACAAAGAGAGAGAGAGGGAGGGAGGGAGGAAAAGAAGGGGTGACACCGTGAGGACACAATGTGGTAACATGTCAGAATGTCCTGAATCTGACAGCAACTAAGAAAGTGATAACCTTAAAATTCACACAGTCACTGTGGGGCATCCTCCCGGCCACGTGTAGTGACAGTGGGGGGAGTTAATCACCCGTGCCCATGGCCTTTAGCTGCTCTCATTAGCGCTGAGCGGTGGAGCCGTACCCGATCCATTAGCAACAGTGCCGGTAATGACACTTCACCATCTCCACCACCACCGACGGGCCTGCAGCCAAGGAAAGGACTTCACATAACGGCAAGAAAAAAAAAACAAAACCAAAAACTCCTCCATTACCGACTCCTACTGCAAATACTGAAGCCGCCACATGTACGGCACCAAATAAAGGGATTGTTCTTCCTGTTTTGTTTTTTTTTCCCCCCCTGGTCCGGAAAAGTAGCAGCAGCAGCAGAAAGATGAGGAGAAGAGAGAGAGGAAGGGAGGCAGAGAGGCAGAGAGGCAGAGAGGCAGAGAGGCAGAGAGGCAGCCTGGTGGCTCTTATCTGGGATCACATCCGTGAGCCGCTGTACTGCAGCATTATCGTTCCAAGCCTCTTTGTCTTTGTCTGACTTTCTCACACACACACACACACGTGCACAGCTGCAGAGAGCAGGAAACACACACCCACACACACACAGAGTTCTCCACGTGCACAGACACACACAGACATGCTGATAAAGTCGTCCTTTATGCAAATGAATTGGGTAATTATGAAGACGTACCAGCAAATCCAGCACAACTGAACACACACACACACACACACACACAGAGACAGGTGTGATGAAAGTCTGTCGTTTCCCGAACATGTCGCGCCCTCATGCAGGTGTTAAAGAGCCAAAGAATAAAGAAGAAGAGGCAAACACACACACAGCTGACTTTATTCTGTCGTTATTTAAAACTTTATTTTTTATTATTTATTTTTGTTTTATTATCTTCGTGTGTGATGTCCTGGTGGAACAGCAGGACATCTTCTTTTCCTATCTTCGTGTGTGGAACAGCAGGACATCTTCTTTTCCTCCTCCTCCTCTTCCTCCTGTGTCTTATCTCACATGTTTTCTCTCAGCTTTTGCTTTGCTCGCTCTGTTGAGCACATTCTTCTAGCGCCCTCCAACGGATTCTGTGGGTACAGCAGCAGCCTCTCTTTCCCCTCGGATCTCTTTCTGGTTATTTTTAGCTCGATTAAACTAAATTATCCCTGTTGACGTGGAACATTTGAGGAATTAAAATGCCAGAAGTGACCTTGGTGTTGTTTTTAAACAGTTTAATGGAGGAGAAATCTCAGGTTTTTAGGTGTTTCTGCAGTATTTATCAAACAAAAACACCAGTCTGTTTGTCAGACTGATGGACGTCTGTGAAAATCTCAAAACATTTAACCCAGAGTTTAATCTAAACTAGTCTAATCTACTATTTGAAATCTGAGAAACCTGTTTTTTAACGTAGCTCCTCACAAAACTGAAAAGAACATTTAAAAAGGAAGCAGCAGTTTTGAAGTTGATGTCAACAGAGATTTGTGCCAAAGTTCCAAATGCATCAACAAAAATGTTGTGTCTTTGGTATTATTTAAAAAAAAAAAGTGCCATCTTTTCTTGAAGTGTTGTTATTGATCTGATGTTGGACGATATGTTGTCATTTTCATGCGTGTCTTTTTGCTCTGCTTCCAGTACATGACTGCTGCAGCCGCCGCGGCGCCTATGCAAGGGACCTACATTCCCCAGTACACTGCTGTGCCTCCAACAGCCGTCTCTGTCGAGGTGAGAGCCACGCCCATTCACACCTGATTAGAATTTTTGAAAAAATCTGTTGACATGATGACATCATCACCGCCAGCAGCCCACAACTACACACACACGGGTGTGTGTCTGTACAAATCAGACGGTCCCTCATCAACAAATAAGGCAAATAAAAAAAAAAAACAGCGAGAGTCTCAGGAAAAGTCTGAAGTTTGACAGAATTTGGGAAAGACGTTTGAAGTGCAGCAAAGTCTCTGCCGGAGCTCCTGGCAGGTTTTTTTTTGGAGCAGTGCAGCATGGGAAATGATGAACGTCGGGGATCGGCGGGCAAGGCGGCGAGGACAGAGCGGCCTGCTGTCTGCTGGCTGACGGTGCAGTCGTATTCAGACGGACTATCAGTCGTGTATCAGATGACAGCAGCTGAAGTGAGACACAGTGCCCACAGCCTCACACACACACACACACACACACAGGCGGTTGAAGATGGTGGGAAGCTGGAACACACACATCTGTCAGCCGCGCAGCTACGGTCCCCCCCCCACCAGCTACACACAATGACAGTTTCCACTGACAGAGCCATTAGT